CATGGCCCTGTTGTCAGCGTACAGGACCGGGGCAGAGCTAGGCCGCTCACCTAAGTCTGTGAGCAAGAACGTCAGCCAGCGGAGCTCCTGTGCCGCCATGGCACCTGCGTAGATCTCGGCTTCGCAACTAGACTGAGCAACAGACAACGAGCAGGTGGACCTCCACGAGACAGCGCCTGCACCAAGGCTAAAGTAGTAGCCCTGAGAGGACATGAGCGTCTCTACATCGTCGGCCCACGAAGCATCTTTGTGCCCTGTCAGGACCACTGGCCTGCCTCTTCCTAGCACTAGCCCCATGCCCGATGTACTTGCTAGATAACGCAAAACCCTCTTAGCTGCCGGCCAGTGCTGTGGTCGGTGTCTGCCTGTCGCCACAAATCGAGCCCGGATGCTGAGAGGGTATGCGAGATCTGGACGAGTGCAAGTCATCAGGTACATGAGGCAACCCACCAGCTCTGTGTACGGACCACTAGGCTCTACCGACTCCTCAGGCATTGGAGCCGAGAGTCTGTGATCTACTGGCAGAGGTGTGGGCAGCATGGAGGAGAACTGAAGACCCAACCTCTGAAGGACCTGGCGCACCAAGTGTGACTGTGTAAGAGTGATGGTGCGAACTACTCTGTCCCTGGAGATCTGCAGCCCAAGGTAGCGGCGCAGCTCTCCTAGGTCAATGCAGGTGTGCCTCCTTATCAGCTCAGCCTTCACTGAGGTCAGAGCGTCTCTGTCTGAAGTAGCAAAGACTAGGTCGTCTACGTAGACAAGGATGTAGAACGTGGTGTAATCTGAACGGACAAAGAGTGAAGGGTCTGTAGACAACGAGAAGAACCGTAAGTCAGCTAACGTAGCACGCAGCATGTCGTGCCACTCATGGGGCACCTGCTGCAGGCCGTAAACTGGGCGCCGGAGGAGCCATTCGGTCCGAGGGGCGAAGGTTCTGGTGAACCCTGGCGGACGGCGCAGGTAGACCTGCTCGTGCAGACTGCCCTGGAGAAACGCTGTGGAGAAGTCTAGAGAGTACAGCTTGTAGTCACGCTGAGCGCCCAAAGAGTGGTCATCTTCGGGGTCGGGGCGAAGGTCTGAAAGAAGTCAACACCCTCGCGCTGACTGAAGCCTCTAGCAACTTAGCGCACCTTGAACGCCGGCGGCTCTCCAGGAGGGCGCTTCACCTTGAAGAGCCATCGGTGTCTCCTCCTCTGCCGTTTGACTCGAGGAGTCGTTTGACCCGTTCTCGTTTGACTCTGGTGGCGAGACACCAGAGTCAAACGACTCCTCGACTGGGACAACCAACGGGAGGGGAGTGAGGTGAGACACACCTGATGGGGCAGGACGGTGAGGGAGAGGAGCAGGGGCTACCGGGAGAGTGGGAACCAAAAACAGGGGTGGGGAAACCAGGAGACCTCGGTGGGAAAGCGGTGGTAGAAGGAGACAGACTCATCAAAAGTGACATCACGCGAGTGAAAGAAGCGGTGAGACGGCGGGTGGTAAAGTGCCAGTCAGACGCGTCGAGGGGGAAGCCAAGGAAGACACAGGGGACAGGGCGGGCAGTGAGCTTGTCCATGCAAGAGGCACGAACGTGAGCAAGGGAGCCCCAGACGTGAAATGCAGACGTGTCACCAGGGAACCCGGTCCAGAGAAGGGTCAGCAAAACCTGCGGCCACTGGGAGTGCGGCCACAGGTTAAGCTGGTGAGCGGCGAAGCGAGCAGTGAACGACCGCAGAAAATGGGGTGCACCGGCATGGATCATGGAGGTACGAGCCACCTCCATGACCAAACTGATGCGTCGCTCGGCGACCCCATTCTTCTGCGGGGAGTCTGGCAGGGTGTACGACTGGGTGATGCCCTCCGCACGACAGAACTGGCCAAGCCGACCGGAGGCGAACTCACCGCCACAGTCGGAGTGGAGACGCAGCACAGGGAGGCCACGGTGGACTCGCGCAGCTACGGCCCACGGGATAAGAACGTCAGGCACGTCAGCCTTCCGCTCCAGGGGAAACACTGTGGTGTAGCGCGTGTAGTCGTCGACAAGCACTAGAAAGTAGCACTCGCGACGCGGCCAAGGACGGGGGCTGGGCCCCAGACGTCAAGGTGCAGGGTATGGAGTGGCGCACTGGTAGGGGGAAGCAAGGAGGAGTGAGGAGCACGGCGCAGCTGGCCCTCGGCACAAGGCATACACGGCGGCGTAGGCGAGGGAGGAAGGGCAGGTTGCGACGCAAGGAGACCGAAGACACGACCATTATGGCACATGTAACGCAGACACGGGAGTGCGGGGTGACCTAGGCGGTGGTGCCACAGCAGCGACGGGTGAGTGATCGACCGACACGCGCAAGCCGCAGCGACTTGGGTCGACGCTGGCACCTAGGGGCATGCCCTCACCGGGGGGGACGCACTGTCAAGCGCAAACAGGCTAGACACAAGGTTCCAGGGGAACGTGGTTAGAGGAGCACCAATGGCAACCTCGATACAGACCGCGTACCGCTCGTGACCAGGGAACCTAGTGGTGACGCCGAGGTCCTGAAGACAGCCGACACCAATTAGGTTCCTAGAGAACGAGGGGATGTGCAGGCCTATGAGAGAACCCGAGGGGACCGCCGAGCAGGGAAGGGTGGTGGAGCTACGGGCAACTACCGGACCTGAGGAGGGGTCAGCAAGCGCAACAGCGGCAGGGGCGGCAAGAGGCGTGAGCGATGTGTGGTTGTGGAAGAAGCAGGCAGACGCTCCAGAGTCGAGCATGAAGGAGAGTGAAGCTGTAGCATCCGTCGGTGGAGGGGCTAGCGTGGAGCCTAGGCTAAACAAGGGTGGGGGTCCTACGCCTGACGCAGCAGGGGGACTTAGACTACACACAGGAGACACACCTACGCTAGGCAACACCTGGTAATAGGGTCCAGTCACACTAGAGTCATCAGAATACATGGCATACAAAGCAGACCTAATCTGATCCTTGTCCATCTCAAAGACAGGCACACGACGATGCACCATGCTATACCAGTCGGGGGGGTCCGCCGTGGGGCCGAAGCGGAGACGGAAGAGGTCGTCGAGGCGGCGGTAGCAGCGTGACGCTGTGTGACCGTGGCGGTCACAGACAGTGCCGCGGCGGGGGCCGGAATGAAGCTGGTACCTGCAGGTGACCACACTGGAGCCGCCACCCGACACCGAGCTGCGCCCCCCACCACCACCAGAACCGCTAGTCCACCACGGCGGCGGGGGCGCCCACGGCGATTGTTGCCGCTGCTGTGATGGTTTTTGCTGCTGCAGAGGCTATTGCTGCTGCTGCTGCTGCTGATGAGGCTGCTGCTCCGAGGCACCAGCCTCGGTCCTCTCGTCTGCACCACCGTCCCCTCCACCACCTTCGCCACCTCTGCCACCCCCGCCACCCCCGCCACCCCTCCCGCCGCCAAGCCCCCCTGGCCCGGCGTCCCCTACCCTGACGAGACTGCGCTGAGGCCACCGTAGCGGTCTCAGCAGCAGGGGCCGTCTCAGCAACAACGGCAAAGACGTCGGAGTAAGTGCACTGGGAGGGAGCACAGCCCTGGAAGATAGGGACCGCCGCAGTACCGCTCGACTGAGCGATAGTGCGCTGGCGGGTCTCTATCGCGGTCAGGGTAGTGACAAAGTCAGTGAGGGTGAGGTCAGCAGGGTGGAGGGCAAGGGAGTGGTCGCGGGCAGTGGCTAGGCGGTCAGAAAGGTGCGTGGCAAGGAAGTAGAGGGTAGCGCCGAGGGGGGGAGGCAGTACAAGAAGCTGAGCCTCAGTGCTAGCAACGCGGTGGCTAGTCTCTAGTGCGCACAAGTGAGTGGCGAGATCAGCGACAGTGGTATAAGACGCAGGTTAGGGAAGAGAAGGGGGAGGAGGAGACGACCGGCAGAGGAGGAGGAGAGAGTAGAATAGCGTGCAATAACAGCATCTAAGTACGCCTGCGCAGTCTCTACGGCCTGATAGCAGGGGCGCTCAGACAGGGGGAGGGCGCGACTGATAGCATGTTGCGCAACTGCGTTACGCGACTCTCAGACGGAGCGAGCGAGCTCAGCAGCTGCAAAGGTCTTACGCTCAGCGGGCGTGGGGGCGTCAGAGAGGGCAGCAGGCGAGTCGGGGCAGGGGATCTTACCGTCGACGTGAACGGCTAGAGACTGGCCACCCTGGCGCTGTCCCCTCAATGAGCGGCAGAGGTTGGCGAGCCACGCCTCAAAGTCGATCGCCCGACCCTCCGCGTCCAGGCGGAGCACAGCGTCTGCCATCGCCACGGCTGCAGCAGCTGACCGCCGCTTGGGGAGGAGGAGGAGAGGGCGGTGAAGAGCAGCGGTGGAGACGGCCAGCGGGAGCGCCGGTACAGAAGGGGGAACCAAGGCCGGCAGGTCGGGGCAGCACAGCAGTACGACGACTCGGCAACTCGGCGACGCGGCGGCACCGCTACTCGGCGGCTCGGCGGCACGACGGCTCGGCTACTCGGTGGCTCGGCGGCTTGGCGGCTCGGCGGCGCGGCTCAGCAGCTCAACGGCGTGGTGCAGCGGCTTGGCAGCTCGGCGCGGTGCCGTATGTCAGGGCCGGCGTGGTGTGACGGGGCCGGTGAGGACTGAGGAGGCCGGCGTGGCGTGACTTTGTTGGTGCTGCATGATGGGGCCTGCGCGGCGGGACGGGGCCGGCGTGGCGTGACGAGGCCGGCGCGGTCTAGCGGGGCCGGCGAGACGTGACGGGGCCGGCGCGGCGTGACGGGGCCGGCGCGGTCTAGCGGGACCGGCGCGGTCTAGCGGGGCCGGCGCGGCGAGACGTTGCCGGGGTGGAGTGACGGGGCTGGCGCAGCGGGACGGGGCCAGCGCGGCGTGACGGGGCGCGGGCTAGGGCGCGGTCTAAGGCTAGGGCTAAGGCTAGGGGCGGAAGCGTAGGCGGGGAGGGGGACCTAACCTAGCGTGATACCATGTTAGAATAACGCAATGAACTAGATTGAGCCATACAGGGAGGTTTTGTGCTATGGTGCTGTACCATACAACAATATGTTGACAACTCTGATGCCCATACCAAGGGATGGCAAGCAAGTCTGACGAATCAGACAACCCCAAAACCAATTTGGGGGCCTGATTATGGTATATGATTGTTGACAATGGCACCATTTGAACATGCCTTGCATGTGGGTGGGTCCTTCCCTGTACCAGACTTTCTTACTCCTTATGGTTTCCCCAGGCATAAGCGCTTCTCGTGTCTTGGGTCGTCATGCATTGAATACAGTATGCATCGCTTGATTGAATGCTACTAACTCCACTCACTGGAAACAAAATAACAGCACTGTTTGTCAAGACCAAGGTCATGCCATTTGGCGAATGAGGTCATTGATCTGAATGCCTCGGTTGCCGGCCTCCCCCCCCTTGTTGAACCACTGCCCCTTGCTGAACTTGCCCCGCGGAGCCGTCAGGCGGAAGGGCCATAGAAAGCCCGTCACCTGCAGGAAGTGCGGGCCCACTGTAGCGATCTCGTGAATCAAATCCTCGATGCAGATGATGCCTGTGCTGCCCAACGCCTGCGAGGGGAGGGGGGGGAGGGGGGACAAGGAAAGAGCGGGGAAGGATGTCAGGAATGGTGGCAGCAGGAGAGGCAGCAATGTACTGTTGGGATCCGAACCGGCTCATGCGCCTCCACAGCTCCACCCTCATGCGAGCGCAACATCTCCAGAGCTGAGCTCCAACATTCTACACAAGGAATCATTGAAGGAATTAGCTTTGAGGAGAAGAAAATAATTAAGGAGCCAAGATGTTCTATTGTACAAACAAGGAGCAAGGAAGAGGTGAAAGGGAGGCTCTTCTATTGATCAAAATGTGGACCAATGGGAGAGGTTGCTTGGAAGGCAAACAACCACAAAGTATGGTGCTTGGTGATTGGTTGGTTCTTAGGACCATTTGGTTGGAATAGTGCCAACCAAATGTCTAGGACCAAATCCAATCGTGACCAACCCAAATGTGGGGTTGGTCAACCCAACCAACAACCCCCCAATAAATATAATGACTACACCTCCAAATCTCGGCAGGCATGTTGTGTATATATATATATTTACAACAATCATTGCCACATGCAATCAAACACCATTCCTTTGCCCCTCTCCCTCCCTCCCTTCCTCCCTCCCTTCCTCCCTCCCCTCCTCCCTCGCCTCCTCCCTCCCCTCCTCCCTCCTCGAAAACAACAAGACTGCACTGTCCGTGAGAGGCACTCTCCGCCATCCCTTGGCCTTGTCAATGGGGGGCCTACCTCAACCTCCCCCCCCCCAACCCTCACCTGTTCCACGAGGGCGTTGTCAGTGAGCGGCACTCTCCGCCACCCCTTGGCCTCCTCCTCCGCATCCACCGGCCCCGTCCACCCCAGCATCGCCGCTGCCTTTTGCGGCGCCCCTACGGTCGCCGATCCGCTCCCTCCTGCCCCCTCTGCTGCCATTGCTTCGCCTGGCTTCGCCCCTTCCTTCTCACCCTCCCCTCCCTCCTCGCCCTCCTCCTGCTCCTCCCCTTCCCCTGCATCTTCCCCCTCTTCCTCCTCCCCCTCCTGCCTGATCCGCGCCACCCCGCGCTTCATTATAAGAGCGCGCACCGATGATAGGTCGGGGAAGCTGGAGGAGAGGGAAGGCGGATGGAAGATGGCGGGGGGAGATGGCGGGGGAACAGCGAAACAATGATGCGGGAAAAGATGAGAGGGCAGCCAGATGATTGGGGGAGCCGGATGATTGGGCAGGGTGAGAGGACATACGTGAGCATGGATGATAATAGCACGAGGACACCGGGTCGGGTCATGCGCGCACCTCTAATCAGAGCGAGCACACCTCTTGCAGCTCCGGAGAGCGAGGAGGGGTAGAGAGGTAGGCAGGGTGAGCGAGGGCGGGGAGCGAAGGCGGAAGGAGGGTGCAGTGCAGGGGAGGGAGGGGCGCACCCGCAGGTGATGAATGCCAGGGAGGGCAGTCAGGGCAGGGAGGGCAGGGAGGGCAGGGAGGGCGGGGAGGGCGGGGAGGGCAGGGAGGGCAGGGAGGGCAGGGAGGGCGGGGAGGGCGGGGAGGGCAGGGAGGGCAGGGAGGGCACGGAGGGCGGGGAGGGCAGGGAGGGCAGGGAGGGCGGGGAGGGCGGGGAGGGCAGGGAGGGCAGGGAGGGCAGGGAGGGTGGGGAGGGCAGGGAGGGCAGGGAGGGCAGGGAGGGCGGGGAGGGCAGGGAGGGCAGGGAGGGCAGGGAGGGCAGGGGGGGGGAGGGCGGGGAGGGCGGGGAGGGGGGGAGGGCAGGGGGGGGGGGGGGGGGGCGGGGAGGGCGGGGAGGGCAGGGAGGGCAGGGAGGGCAGGGAGGGCGGGGAGGGCGGGGAGGGCAGGGAGGGCAGGGAGGGCAGGGAGGGCAGGGAGGGCGGGAGGGCGGGGAGGGCAGGGAGGGCGGGAGGGCAGGGAGGGCAGGGGAGGGCAGGGGAGGGCGGGGAGGGCGGGGAGGGCAGGGAGGGCAGGGAGGGCAGGGAGGGCGGGAGGGCGGGAGGGCAGGGAGGGCAGGGAGGGCAGGGAGGGCGGGGAGGGCAGGGAGGGCAGGGAGGGCGGGGAGGGCGGGGAGGGCGGGGAGGGCAGGGAGGGCGGGGAGGGCAGGGAGGGGGGGAGGGCGGGAGGGCAGGGAGGGCGGGAGGGCGGGGAGGGCAGGAGGGCAGGGAGGGCAGGGAGGGCGGGGAGGGCAGGGAGGGCAGGGAGGGCAGGGAGGGCGGGGAGGGCGGGGAGGGCAGGGAGGGCAGGGAGGGCAGGGAGGGCGGGGAGGGCGGGGAGGGCAGGGAGGGCAGGGAGGGCAGGGAGGGCGGGGAGGGCGGGAGGGCAGGGAGGGCAGGGAGGGCGGGGAGGGCGGGGAGGGCGGGGAGGGCAGGGAGGCGGGAGGGCGGGAGGGCGGGGAGGGCGGGGAGGGCAGGGAGGGCGGGGAGGGCGGGGAGGGCAGGGAGGGCAGGGAGGGCAGGGAGGGCGGGAGGGCAGGGAGGGCAGGGAGGGCAGGGAGGGCGGGGAGGGCGGGGAGGGCAGGGAGGGCAGGGAGGGCAGGGAGGGCGGGGAGGGCGGGGAGGGCAGGGAGGGCAGGGAGGGCAGGAGGGCGGGGAGGGCGGGAAGGGCAGGGAGGGCAGGGAGGGCAGGGAGGGCGGGGAGGGCAGGGAGGGCAGGGAGGGCGGGGAGGGCGGGGAGGGCGGGGAGGGCAGGGAGGGCGGGGAGGGCAGGGAGGGCGGGGAGGGCGGGGAGGGCAGGGAGGGCGGGGAGGGCGGGGAGGGCAGGGAGGGCAGGGAGGGCAGGGAGGGCGGGGAGGGCAGGGAGGGCAGGGAGGGCAGGGAGGGCGGGGAGGGCGGGGAGGGCAGGGAGGGCAGGGAGGGCAGGGAGGGCGGGGAGGGCGGGGAGGGCAGGGAGGGCAGGGAGGGCAGGGAGGGCGGGGAGGGCGGGGAGGGCGGGAGGGCAGGGAGGGCAGGGAGGGCGGGGAGGGCGGGGAGGGCGGGAGGGCAGGGAGGGCAGGGAGGGCGGGGAGGGCGGGGAGGGCAGGGAGGGCAGGGAGGGCAGGGAGGGCAGGGAGGGCGGGGAGGGCGGGAGGGCAGGGAGGGCGGGGAGGGCAGGGAGGGCGGGAGGGCGGGGAGGGCAGGGAGGGGCGGGGAGGGCAGGGAGGGCAGGAGGGCAGGGAGGGCGGGGAGGGCGGGGAGGGCAGGGAGGGCAGGGAGGGCAGGGAGGGCGGGGAGGGCGGGAAGGGCAGGGAGGGCAGGGAGGGCGGGAGGGCGGGGAGGGCAGGGAGGGCAGGGAGGGCGGGGAGGGCGGGAGGGCGGGGAGGGCGGGGAGGGCAGGGAGGGGGGGGGGGGGAGGGCAGGGAGGGCGGGGAGGGCGGGGAGGGCAGGGAGGGCAGGGAGGCAGGGAGGGCGGGGAGGGCAGGGAGGGCAGGGAGGGCAGGGAGGGCGGGAGGGCGGGGAGGGCAGGGAGGGCAGGGAGGGCAGGGAGGGCGGGGAGGGCGGGGAGGGCAGGGAGGGCAGGGAGGGCAGGGAGGGCGGGGAGGGCGGGGAGGGCAGGGAGGGCAGGGAGGGCGGGGAGGGCGGGGAGGGCGGGGAGGGCAGGGAGGGCGGGGAGGGCAGGGAGGGCGGGGAGGGCGGGGAGGGCAGGGAGGGCGGGGAGGGCGGGGAGGCAGGGAGGGCAGGGAGGGCAGGGAGGGCGGGGAGGGCAGGGAGGGCAGGGAGGGCAGGGAGGGCGGGGAGGGCGGGGAGGGCAGGGGAGGGCAGGGAGGGCAGGGAGGGCGGGGAGGGCGGGAGGGCAGGGAGGGCAGGGAGGGCAGGGAGGGCGGGGAGGGCGGGAGGGCAGGGAGGGCAGGGAGGGCAGGGAGGGCGGGGAGGGCAGGGAGGGCAGGGAGGGCGGGGAGGGCGGGGGGGAGGGGCGGGGAGGGCAGGGAGGGCGGGGAGGGCAGGGAGGGCAGGGAGGGCGGGAGGGCAGGAGGCGGGGAGGCAGGAGGGCAGGGAGGGCAGGGAGGGCGGGGAGGGCAGGGAGGGCAGGGAGGGCAGGGAGGGCGGGGAGGGCGGGGAGGGCAGGGAGGGCAGGGAGGGCAGGGGAGGGCGGGGAGGGCAGGGAGGGCAGGGAGGGCAGGGAGGGCGGGGAGGGCGGGGAGGGCAGGGAGGGCAGGAGGGCAGGGAGGGCGGGGAGGGCGGGGAGGGCAGGGAGGGCAGGGAGGGCAGGGAGGGCGGGGAGGGCGGGGAGGGCAGGGAGGGCAGGGAGGGCAGGGAGGGCGGGGGAGGGCGGGGAGGGCAGGGAGGGCAGGGAGGGCAGGGAGGGCGGGGAGGGCGGGAAGGGCAGGGAGGGCAGGAGGGCGGGGAGGGCGGGGAGGGCGGGGGAGGGGCAGGGAGGGCGGGGAGGGCAGGGAGGGCGGGGAGGGGGGGGGGGGAGGGCGGGAGGCAGGGAGGGCGGGGAGGGCGGGGAGGGCAGGGAGGGCAGGGAGGGCAGGGAGGGCGGGGAGGGCAGGGAGGGCGGGAGGGCAGGGAGGGCGGGGAGGGCGGGGAGGGCAGGGAGGGCAGGGAGGGCAGGGAGGGCGGGGAGGGCGGGGAGGGCAGGGAGGGCAGGGAGGGCAGGGAGGGCGGGGAGGGCGGGGAGGGCAGGGAGGGCAGGGAGGGCAGGGAGGGCGGGGAGGGCGGGAGGGCAGGGAGGGCAGGGGAGGGCGGGGAGGGCGGGAGGGCGGGGAGGGCAGGGAGGGCGGGAGGGCAGGGAGGGCGGGGAGGGCAGGGAGGGCAGGGAGGGCGGGGAGGGCAGGAGGGCGGGGAGGGCAGGGAGGGCAGGGAGGGCAGGGAGGGGCGGGGAGGGCAGGGAGGGCAGGGAGGGCAGGGAGGGCGGGGAGGGCGGGGAGGGCAGGGAGGGCAGGGAGGGCAGGGAGGGCGGGGAGGGCGGGGAGGGCAGGGAGGGCAGGGAGGGCAGGGGGCAGGGAGGGCGGGGAGGGCGGGGAGGGCAGGGAGGGCAGGGAGGGCAGGGAGGGCGGGGAGGGCGGGGAGGGCGGGGAGGGCAGGGCAGGGAGGGCAGGGAGGGCAGGGAGAGCAGAGAGGGGAGGGGCGGATGAAGGCGGGGGAAGGAGGGGGAGGGGCGCACCCAAAGGTGACGAAGGGCTCGACGAGTTGCAGCATCTGAGCCACGCGGTCCGACGCCCGCAGGAAGACGCCTGAGTTCAGCTGCGGGAGAGAGAGATGAGCGGGGAGGGAGAGGTGAAAAGGGAGGGAGAGGTGAAAAGGGAGGGAGAGGTGAGCAGGGAGGGAGAGGTGAAAAGGGAGGGAGAGGTGAGCAGGGAGGGAGAGGTGAGCAGGGAGGGAGAGGTGAAAAGGGAGGGAGAGGTGAGCAGGGAGGGAGAGGTGAGCAGGGACGGAGGTGTAGGCCGCGTGTATGGGGGAACGCCATGGGTGTGCAGGTGAGCACATGGGGACAGGACAGCCAATGTGTGTCACTGTTCACCCCCATCCCCATCCCCATCCCCACCCCCATCCCCACCCCCCACCCCCACCCCCACCCCCACCCCCACCCCCACCCCCACCCCCACCCCCACCCCCCACCCCCACCCCCACCCCCACCCCCACCCCCACCCCCATCCCCATCCCCATCCCCATCCCCATCCCCATCCCCATCCCCATCCCCATCCCCATCCCCATCCCATCACCACAACCATCAACATCACCACCAGCACCAGCATCATTCCCATCACATCACGACCAGCAGCAGCATTCGGACTACCTCTGTGAGTCGAAGCATCTTCAGTACATTCTGCGATCGCTTCGTCATTTCCCGAGGCACCCTGAGCACGCACATAGCACAAGCATAGGAGTGCAACAATTTAGTGCAAACATTCGGTAACCAACTTATTACACGTCGGATAACCAAAGAATGGCATGTTAAACACCCCAGGGTATGCTTTGAGCAACAATGTCAATGATGTGCGATGGTATGGTGTGTGACAGTATGGCGTGTGACAGTATGCGACTGTATGGCGTGCGACGGTATGCTGTAGCCCTCACTTCACACTCACCCTCTCACAACCTCTCTCTTGCCCCCTGCCACTCACCTTCTCTTCTCTTCCCCCCCTCCCCCACTCTCCCCCCCCCGCCCCACTCACCCTCGGATCCGCACAGCGAACAGCAGCTTAAGGTTGGTCCCTGCCAGAATGCTCCCCTTCCCCTCCGCCGCTACCGCCTGCCCCGCCTCACTCCCGCCTCTACCAGCGCCCTCCACCTTCCCTGCTGCGCCCATCCGCTCCGCTGCTTTCTGCGCGGCCTTCAACTTTCGCCGCGCCGCCCGCCTCCGCCCCGCGCTCCCCCCTTCCGCCACCACTGGCTTCAGCTGCACCCGCCGCCCCACCACCCGGTCCGCCCTCACCCGCTTCGCATCGCGCTCCTGTTGCGCGGGCAGAAGAGTGAGGGAGGGGGAGAGAAGTTGGGAAGACGAGCGGGGCGGGAAACTTGACTTAAAACCCTGAATCCGACACGACACGACACGACCCGGTCCGCCTCACATCCCGCGGCTGTTGCAAGCGGAGCGGAGAGCGGGGGGAGCGGGGCGGAAACTGAAACCCGAAACCTTGCAGTGCAACACCCTGCCCCCCTTTCACCTGATTCGCATCCCGCCTCTGTTGCGCGGAGAAAGGAGGGGGGCGGGGGAGACGAAAGAGGGGGGAGGGGGGGGGGGAAGAAGAGGAACAAACCCTAGACCTCGAAACAGGGACAGGCTACAGGGACTGCTCTTCCACTGCGCCTCGTGCCTCCGCCGTTTGCAGCCACGAATAAAACCCTCAACCCTCGCCAATTCGTTAACCCTAACAAGCCAATCCGTCGCACCGAGTCCTTAAGATTGAACCCTCCGTTAATTCGCGATGCGTGAACACGCGCCACTGAGATCCAAGTCCCTACACGTGCTCCCCGCCTACAACGATGCGCCCCACGCCAACCGACGCGCCCTACGCCAACCGACGAGCAATACGCTAAGACGCGCAATCAGCCACTGGAGCCGGCAACATTCACACACGGTGAACTTTGCGACACAATCAACTGAAACTTCGTCTATTTCGCTGCCGGAAACATCTAGCCTCAGACTCTAAAACCCCAGTCGCAACGCCTTTTTTTCCCTTCGAAGAACAAGAACCCTGCAAGCAAGCCGACATCCGGAAACCGGCGCAACGCACCCTCCGGCGGAACGCGAGCACGAAGTCCTCTGGGCGCTTGAAGCGCTTCTCCGCCTTGCCGCGCTTGCCGCGGTGCGCGTGCTTCTGCAGAAACTGCTCGCGCTTCTCCGCCGCGAACTGCTCGTCCTTCTTCCGCTTCTTCAGCACCGTCTCCGGCACCGTCGGCAGCACGCGCGGCGGCTGCACCTCCTCCGCGCTCATCGCGGCTGGCGGCGGACTGGCGGAAGATTGGCGGAATACAGTCGGCTGGCGGAAGATTAGCGGCGGACTGGCAGCGGAAGGGGACGAGACGACTAACGGGTAACGGGGGAGGGAAGGTAGAGGCAGAGAATACAGGACGAGCGGAATGGAAAGGAGCGAGGAGCGAGGTGGGAAGATAGGGAGCAAAGCAAGTCCTTGGGGTTTCAAATATTCGATACCTGCTGGTCTGTTACGGAATAGAAGAGCATCACTGTCTTACACTACAGAGGAGGGACACACTCCATAACCTTTCGCATCTCACATCAATAGTGAGCCATCTCAGTAACATAAATGCTTAATGCGACACCACAATATTACATAATACTTTACTACATTCCAGAGCACGTCTTCACCTACAACACGCAACTCAAATCCAAGTACCGGTAGATACGGTACCGGGAAATCAATGGGCGGGAGGCCCCTAAGGCTGGAGTCAATTTACAACAATCAATTGGAGGAGTGCAGCAGGGCAAGCATCAGGCACACGATATCCAGCAGCTTGATAATGCCTGTGGAGCTGGCAGCAACCAGCGGCTGTGCGTCATCCCACCTCGTCAACCCCCAGGTCCGGCTACCCCAGTCACACCCTTCCTGCCGGTACACAACACAACACACCCCTCCCCCCCTCCCCCACCCCCTCCCCCCCCCCTGCCCATTACACCATCTCGAGCAGCTTGATGTTCCCCGTGGAGTTGGCTGCCACCAGCGTCTGCGACGCGCCCCGCCAGCACACACTGGAAACGAACTGCCCCGCATCGTCCTCCGTGTCCGCCCCGGTCACAGGGTCCACCCCGCCAAAGCGGTGCGACGCCATGGGCATGGGCAGGGACTTGTGGAATGCGTATACCTGGGGGAGAGGAGGGAGCAGAGACGGGTGGCGTTGAACATAAAAGAGCGTGAGTCGGCCAATAAAACCCGGTCAGTAGTCCACCTCGCCCAAGCTGTGCGACGCCATGGCCGACTTGGGGAACACACACACCTGCAGGGGAGGGAGGACGGGGGAGAAGGGTGGAGAAGGGGTGGCGGTGGGAGAGCATGGAAACGCGGATGCAGCGAGCGAAGGACAAGAGGACAGAAGGCTCGGAACAAAGTGAGAGAAGGACAGAGAAGGTGAGAGAAATAGTGGCGAACAGACGGTGCGGGAGGGACTCATTGCTGAGTGGCTGAGTGAGACAGAGTGTGCGGACGAGAAGTAGGAGAGTTACCTCGTTGGTTTCAGAGCCGCATGCGATGTAGCCGTCGGCAACAGTGAGACCCACAAAGTTCTGTTTTTGGGGGGGGGGGGCACAAGGGAGATATGAGACGTGAGTTGTGGAGTGAATGAAGGACAAATGCATTGAAGTACGAGTGGGTGAAGAGACGAATGAGAGAATGAATGGATAAACAGACAACTCAACGAACAAACGAATGAATGAACGGCGCCGCCACAACAAACAGGTGCAAGCTAGGAACCAGCCGCTCGTCACGACAACACAGAGCAGTGGCCACCACGTGTCACCTTCTCATTGGTGTGCCCGGTGAACGTCCGCGAGCAAGCAGACGACCCCTCCGCCCCCTCAACCTCGGCCACCCCCTGCTGCTGGGTGGTGGCGCGGGTGAGGTCCCACAGCTTGAGCGTGTTGTCGGTGGAGGCGGACACGAGGGACGAGGCGTCGACGAATTTCACGTAGCTCACGGCCTTGCTGTGCCCCGCCAGCGCCGCCAGGGGCGCGCGCAGCGAGCGCAGGTCGTAGCAGTACAGCGAGTAGTCGGCAGAGCCGAGGGCGATGAGGTGCGAGGAGTGGGGCGGGAAGGCCACTGAGCATACGTTAGCTTTGGTCTGGATGGTTCCTATGCTGGTGTCCTGGGGAAGAGAGGGCAGGAGACGGGGAGGAGTGAAATGGAAGAATGTCAGTTTTTAGGTGGCCTGGAGGCGAGGGGCATGCGCAACGAGCGCAGGTCGTAGCGGTAGAGCCAGTAGTCGGCCGAGCCGAGGGTGATGAGATGCGACGAGTCGGGGGGGAGGTCACGGAACTTAGAATAGCTTTGGTCTCAATGGTTCCTATGTTGGTGTTTTGGGGAAGGGAGAGGGGGGAGGGGGGAAGGGGGGACGAAGGGGAGTGAGAGAATGTGAATGGAGCTGCATGCATGGCATGTGCGCTTCAACAAGTCATTCAACATTCCCATGCGCACCTGCCATGATCCTTATGATCAAGTGTTAAAGCGAGAGACTATAATAGTGACCCCCCTTTCTGGTTGGGCCCAACTAGAAACGACCAAACAGTGAATATGTTTTTGGAGGGGCGGGCAGCAGCCCCCGTTTTTTACCAAGCCGTAGGCCACGAAATCGAATTGCGCTTGCGACATTTCGCACTGGCGACAAATTTTACGACCACAGATTTGCGCGGTTAGCATTTCGACCAATCGGGGCCCAGCCTCGGTTTTGCCGGAGTAGTGAACCCGGGTCCAACTTGAACTTCAAGTTGGGCCCACTTGGTGCAGCTTACAAGCAGTGGGGGCTGGGCGACAGGTGGTGCGCTGCTTGCGGAATTGCCCGAGCCATTTTCCCCACCGTACGTCATGTTTTCCCCACCAACCAATCAGGTAATTGCATCTTCTTGCCCAGTTTCCCCTGCTTGCATTTCTCGACAGTGTACCCTCTACCCCGTCGCAGTTTTGTCCCTTAGTCGCAAAAACGGATGTCTGGGCCTTTTCACGATGGACCCGCCTTCACTATTTTGACCTTTCGCTGTAAGTCCTTGCTTACGATTAATTTTGATACACTATTAAGTCCTTGCTTACGATTAAGTTATGTACACGATTAAGTCCTTGCTAACGATTAAATTCTAGACACTATTAAGTTCTTGCTTAGGATTCAGTTCTATACACTATTAAGTTCTTGCTTAGGATTACTATTAAGTCCTTGCTTACGATTAAGTTCTATACACTATTAAGTCCTTGCTTATGATTAAGTACTATACACTACAAAGTCCTTGCATAAGAAGCACTCCATACCACATGCATGCCCTCACCTGGCTGACCCCCGCCCCCCACCTGGTGGACCCCGCACCTGGTGGACCCCCCCCACCTGGTGGATTCCCCCACCTGGTGGACCCCCCACCTGGTTGACCCCTCACCTGGTTGATGCTCCACAGCTTCACGCAGCCGTCGTCGCTGCCACTGGCGAGGCGGGTGGGGTCGCAGGGGGAGAAGTCCACGCTCCACGCGCGCTTCTCGTGCTCGCCCCACTCCATCACCGCCGCGCCCGTGCACGCGTCCCACAGCTGCACGCGATTGAAGTTGGGGGGGGGTCAGTTGTTGGGTGGGAAGTTAGAGTGTTAGATGGTTCTCAGATCCTAGAAGGCATTGCTCCACGTGCCCCACTCCATCACCGCGCGCCCGTGCACGCATCCCACAGCTGCAGGGGGGGAAGGGTGAGAGGCTTTCACTATCAGACGGTTTGATAATCAGATGGTTTACAGAGCATTACAAACGTGTCGCTTCACACTTTCATCTCGTGCTCGCCTTATTGTATGACCGCCGCACCCATGCACGCCAACCCTCCCTGCTCTGCCATGCCATGCGCTCTGCTCACCTGCACCATTCCATCTTCCCCAGCCGAACCAAGCCAGTTCATCATACCCAGCCGAACCAAGCCAGTTCATCATACCCAGCCGAACCAAGCCAGTTCATCATACCCAGCCGAACCAAGCCAGTTCATCATACCCAGCCGAACCAAGCCAGTTCATCATACCCAGCCGAACCAAGCCAGTTCATCATACCCAGCCGAACCAAGCCAGTTAATCATACCCAGCCGAACCAAGCCAGTTAATCATACCCAGCCGAACCAAGCCAGTTAATCATACCCAGCCGAACCAAGCCAGTTAATCATTTCGGCTCACACATGACTGCTTGGCGCGACACCCCTCCAGCCATTCCCATTCCCCCACGCTCAACTTCCCATGCCCGCTTAGAGAACCTAGTCAACTCACCTGTACCACCCATTCCAGTCCGCTCACCTGCACCACCCCATCATAGTCGGCCGAGGCGAGGCGGTTCTTGATGTACCCATTCCAGGTGACGCACGAGAGCTTGGCGCGGCACGCCATCTCCACCACGGGGTAGTGGATGTCCACGCGCTGCCCCGCCAGCACGCTGCCGCACTCGAAGATGCGGATGCGGCGGCACACGCCGCCCGTGGCAAAGAACTCGGCGTCGCGGTCGAAGGCGAGGGAGCAGACCATGGAGGCGGCATTGAGCAGGTCGCCGTGACGCAGCGTGGCGCGCACCTCGAAGTGCGAGTAGCGTGCAAACTTGCACAGCGAGTCAAAGAAACTGCCCAGCCGGTCCCTGCCGCCCCTCTCCTCCCCCTGCTGCTGCTGCTGCTGCTGCACTGCCAAAGCTCTTTCTTCCCTCCCTGCTGCTGCTATTGTTGATGCTGACGCTGCACGTCCTGCCGCGCCTGCTGCTGCCTCCATGGCTGCAGACACGGTGGTCGGGGGTGCCGTGGACCGCCCCGCCTCTTCCTCGCTGCCTTGGCCCTCTCTCTGCCCTCCTCCTCCCACCCCTGCTGCTGCCCCGGCTGCCTCTTGCAGTGGTGCAGGGAGGTTGGGCGTGGCCGCCTCAACACCACCAGTACCAGCACCAGCAGCACCAGCAGCAGCAGCAGCAGCAGCAGCAGCAGCCAGCAGCAGCAGCAGCAGCAGCGCCATCCCCCCCACCACCGCCATCAGCAGCAGTACGAGATGCAGTGAGCGGCACAGCAAGCGCACCATGCGGCACGGCAGCATCGGAGGGGGGCACAGAGGCACCAGCAGCGCCCAGGGCAGCACGGCCCTGCCCGCCCTCGGCTCCCTCTGCCGCGTCCACTCTCCAGCGCATGGCAAAGTACACCTCCTGCAGGCGGTCAAAGTTATGCAGTAACCGCTCGCTCCTTCTGGACAGCCGTGGCCGACTCATGCCCGACGCAGCAGCAGCAGGAGCAGCGCCGGCAGCAGCAGTGGCGGCACCGTGACTTTGCCCTGCTGACGCCTCGTCCACTTCATCTGTGGCCATCCGTCCTCCCCACTCTCTGCCCCGGGTAGGAGAGCCAGCGCCTCTACCAGCCTCTCTGTCTGACTCGCCTCGCTCCAGTGAGTGTGCCGATGGGGACGGCAGCATGAGCGGCTGTGCCTGCCACTGCTGCCCTGTAGCCCCCCCTGCTCCCCATGCGCGCTCATGCACATGACCATGCCCATACCCATACCCATGCCCATGCCCATGCCCATGCCCATGCCCATACCCATACCCATGCCCATGCCCATGCCCATGCCCATGCCCAGGCCCATCTGCATGTGCGCGCGTGCCGGCATGCACTGCCGCCCGTCTCCGATGCACCTCGTGGATGTCCCCCGTCAGCCGCCCCAGGTCCACCCCCAGCCTCTGCGCGGCGGCCTGCTTGGCGAGGTGGATGCGCGTGAGAAACGCCAGCAGCACCTCGCACTCCGCCTCCTGCGCCTCCAGCCCCGCCTGCCGTCCCCTGTGCGCGAACATGCTCGCCACGTCCGCCAGCAGCTGGCTGTTGCGCACCTCGCTGGTGGGAGCGGAAGGGTTGGGGGGCATCGGGAGCAATGGGGGCCGATGGGTGGCAATGGGGGCACGGGGGGGCAACGGGGGGCAATGGGGGGCAATGGGGGGGCAACGGGGGGCAATGGGGGGGCAACGGGGGGCAATGGGGGGGCAACGGGGGGCAATGGGGGGGCAACGGGGGGCAATGATGGGGGGCAACGGGGGGACAACGGGGGGCAATGGCACATGGCAGGGACGGGAATATTGAGGCGCCTAAATCAGCCTGCTGCCCCCTGTAGGCGAACATGCGTGCCACGTCGGCTAGCAGCTGGCTGCTGCGCGAGCAGGCGGCGGCAGCGGGCGCCTACCCGCTGCACTCAAGGAGCTCACCTCGCCTTTCGCCTGGCGGAGAGTTGGAGGGCTCACCTGGCTCTGATAGGTTTTTGAGAATTCTCAATCACAGGCGGGTGGGCAGAGAGTTGGGGGGCTCACCTGGCTCTGGGGCGGGCAGCGAGTTGGGGGGCTCACCTGGCCCTGGGGCTGGTGGAGAGTGGGGGGGCTCACCTGACTGTGGGGCGGGCAGCAGGCTGCGGGTGCAGCAGCCAGAGGCAGAAGGCGGCCTCCTTGGGGCGCTGGGAGAGCAGGCGGGGCGGCAGAATGCGGTGGCAGAGATCCGCCATTATCACACTGCGCTCCGTGGGCGAGGTGAAGGGGCAGAAGAGCTGGTAGAAGAGGGGGGGGAGGAAGGGTGAAGGAGAGGGAAGGAGGAGCGAGGGGCGGGAGGGTTGAGCGGGACACAAGGTGCGACGATGGCAGAGGTCAGCCACTATCACAACTGCGCTCCGTGGCCGAGGTGAACAGAGAGAGGAGCTGCGGGGGCGAAGGGGAGGGGTAGTAAAGGGGAGGGAGGGAAGGAGGAGTGAGTGAACAGAGAAAGTCGAGGGATAAGAGGAGGAGACGCGATGGCAGAGGCCACATTTAAGTCGACACAAGAGGATGCAGGATGACACCGTCCGCCCTCAGTGGCGTGAGTGAACGAGCAGAAGAGGTCATTATACAAGTGGTGGCGGGGGGGAAAGGGAGTTTGAGGGGAAGCGGCAGGGTTTCAAGGAGCTGGCAAGCATACCTCAGAAGTAATCCGGCATGCACCGTAGACGAGCATTCAGGTACCTCCCTCCGGTCTGCATGCTCACCTCGAAGAAGAGCACCCCCAGCTTGAACACGTCTGATGCGGCGCTGACAGCGTCGCCCCGTGCCTCCTCCGGTGACGTGTACCACCGCACCTCCTCTTCCTCCGCTCTCCCTTCACCCCCCCCCACTCCTCCCCCTCCCCCTCCCCCTCCCCCTCTCCCTCCCCCTCCCCCTCCCCACTCCATAGTACCTCCCCCCCGTTCCGCTGCCTCTACTCCTGCTGCAGCGGTGCCCCCTCGCTGCTGCCCTCCCATGCCCGCGCCTCCTCCCCTGCCTCGCCCTGCTGCTCCTCGCCCCGCCCTCCCTCCCACCCCCACCCCCTGCCCCTGCGCCAGCCGCTCGTGCTCCAGGCGCACCACGCCCGCCTCCTCCTGGTCCTGCAGCATGGCGCGCTGCCACGCCTCCGCCTGCTGCTCCTGCCACCCCACCCCCTCCACGGCTCCTCTGGGCCCATCCCCCTCCTCTTGCTGCTGCCGCCCCTGCTGCTGCTGCTGCTGCTGTTGCTGCTGCTGCTGCTGCTGCTGCTGCTGCTGCTGCTGCTGCTGCTGCTGCTGCTGCTGCTGCTGCTGCTGCTGCTGTTGCTGTTGCTGTTGCTGCTGCTGCTGCTGCTGCTGCTGCTGCTGCTGCTGTTGCTGTTCCCAAAGTTGCCACTCCTCTGGCTGCCCTTGCTGCCCCTGCCCACCTGATCCGCCCTCCCCAACCTCCCCCTCCCCCACCTCTCCCACTAGCGGCCGCAGAAACGGCGGGTGGTAGACCACACGTCTATGGGCAGACAGGACAAAGCAGGCCGGCCGCACGTGCTTTACCACGTGGCCCTGCGCGTGGGCGGCAGCGACCATGTCGACGACCTGGGCGAAGAGGAAGAGGCTCTCCACGCGGTCCACCTCCCTGCCCGCGCGGTTCAGCCACCGCCGCAACGACAGCAGCGCGGGAGGGGCGGGGGCGGACGGGTGCAGCGCAGGAGGAGGTGGGGGGATGAAGAGGGGGGAAAGGGGGCGGCAGGGGGGGGAATAGACGCGGGGCGGATGGGAGGAGGGGCCGGGGCGTGAAGGACTGCAGGCGGAGGTGCGGCGGGGGTGAGAGGCGCGGATGGCGTGTGGGGAAGAGGCAGAGGCGTGTGGCGGCGGAAGGTCGGTTGATGCAAGGATGGGGGTGGAGCGCCAGGTAGAGGGGCCGCGACCCCCCCCCCTCCCCGTGCAGCAGCAGCAGCAGCAGCAGCGGCAGGTGCGGCCTCATGGGTGGGTGGAGCCACCAGGCCCACTGAAGCCAACCCCTCGTCACCTGTCATGCCACCACGGCCCACGTCCCCACCTGCTGCTGCTGCTCCCTCTGCCGTCCAATGGTGTTGCCTGTGATGCTGTTGCTGGGCCTGCTGTGGCGGAGGTGATGGTTCGTAACGCTGCTGTGGCGGTGGTGGTTGCGGCCTGAGGCCTGTCATTGGCGCTTGTCTCGATGCTGCCCCTGCTGCCCCTGCTGCCCTTGTTGGCCCACCGCCCTGGCCAGTGGCGGTATCACCGCCAGCACCACTCGCCCTACCGCCGCCACCACCCCTGGGTGCCTCGCTGCCTCGTATGGGACCGAGCTGCACTCCCTCCTCCCCCTCCACTCGCCTTCGCTCCGTCTGCCCGCCTGCCATCTCCCTTCCTTCCCCTCTCCCCCCTCTCGCACCCCCTCGTGCCCCTCGCACCACCGCCACCCGACTCCCCTGCCCTGTCCTTCCCCTCCCTCCCCCCCCCTGTCTCCCCATCTCCTGCCTCCCCGTCTCCTGCACCCTTCCCCCTCCCCCTCCCCCTCCCCCTCCCCCTCCCCCTTCCCCCGCCCCTCCCCCACTGCCCTCCGACTCCTCTGTCTCGTCCAGGGAGCTCCCCGTGCGCTCCGGCCCCCCTGCGCCCCCTGCGCCCATGCCCCCTGCCCCGGGCGGCGCACAGACGTTGGAGTTGCTGCGGAGCCCCTCCTCCGCGCGGTTTGCGAGCTGCTGCGTGGAGAAGAGGAACGGCCCCGTTACTAGCACGCGCTCAGACGGCACGGCAGGGGCGGCATGTCCCCCTGCTTCTCCCTCCCTACCCACCCTGTCCGCTCCTCCTGTCTCCTCCCCTCTACCACCGCTACCACCGCTACCGCCACCCGCAGCACCAGCACCACCGTCAGCAGCGGCGCTCCCTTCCTGCGCCCTGCGGCGGATGTCCGCCTGCACAACGGGGTGAAACCATCCCTCCCCCGCCCGGCCAGGCGCGCGCATCAATGGCGTTGCACCACCCACCACTGCAGCCGCCCGGCCCTCCACTGTTACTCCCCACCCCGCAGGTGCTGTGTCATCCCACCCCTCTGCACCCATACCCCCTCTCCCTCCATCCCGCCCCTCTCCTTCCCCCTCCTCCCCCTCCTCCCCCTCCTCCCCCTCCTCCTCGCCAACCTCGCAGCCCCCCTCGCCCATGCCGCTGCCTGCCCGCCCTGCGTCCCCGTGCCTAGCCCCTTCCCCCAGCACCTCCCGCCGCCTTCCCCCTGCCACCCCACCCTGCGCTGCCTCGCGTCTCATACCGCCTGTGGGAGGTACCGCATGCACTGGCGCTGCTGCTGTTACTCCTGCTACTCCTGCTACTCCTGCGACTCCTGCTACTCCTGCTACTGCTGGTCCTACTGCTGGTCCTACTGCTGGTCCTACTGCTGGTCCTACTGCTGGTCCTACTGCTGGTCCTACTGCTGGTCCTACGGCTGCTGCTATCCCGCCTGGTGGAAAAGCTGCCCAACCAGCAGCATCTGTTGCCTGCTGCCCCTGCTGCCCCTGCTGCGCCACAAGCCTTGCGCCAGGCACCAGCCCCCCCTGCTCCCCCCGCCGCCCAGCTGCCGCTCCAGCTACCGCCCACAGCCTCTCCTGTCCTCCCACGCCTCCCGCGCCTGCTACAGCCGCCCGCCCGTCCGCCCCCAACGCTCCGCCCCTCCCCCTGCCGCCCCCCGCCCCCCCCCTGCTGAGTTGCGCGCGCATGTCCCGCTGCAGCAGGCGCAGGTACTGGCGCTGCAGCTGCCGCTGCTGCTGCAGGAGATCCACTCCGCCCGCACCCCACTCCGCGCCCTCCCCGTCCCCGCGCATGAGCAGGGAGTGCTGCGCCGCCGCTAGCATCTGCCTGTGCTGCTGCAGCAGCCGCTGCCGGATGCTCGCATCTTGCCCCTCCTGCTCGTTCCCTTGCACCCCCTGCTCCTGCACCCCCTGCTCCTGCACCCCCTGCTCCTGCACCCCCTGCTCCTGTACCCCCTCCTCCTGCACCCCTTGCTCCTGCACCCCCTCCTCCTGCTCCTCCTGCTCCTGCTCCTGCTCCTGCTCCTGCTCCTGCTCCTGCTCCTCCGCCTCCGCCTCCGCCTCCGCCTCCGCCCCTGGCTCCCCTTGTTCCCCTTGCCCCTCATCGCCCGCCTGCTCCTGCGCCAGCTCCCGCGCTTCCTCCCCCTCCCATCCGTGCCCGCCCCCGTGCCCTTCATACTGCCGTTCCGCCAACCCCTCCGCGCCCGTCCCTCTTCTCCCCCGTCCCCCCTGCCATGCCCCGCCGAACACTCTCTCATCCGCCGCGCCTGCAGCGCCCTCTCCCCACTGCCGCTCCGTCTTTGCGCGCTTTCTGCGCCCCTCGTTGTCGTCCGCCCCTTCCCCCGAACCCTCGCCTTCACCCGCCGGAAACAGCTGCCCGTGCGCGTTCCCCTCACTACCCCCATCCGCGGATCTCACTGCTCCAGTTCTTTCTCTCCCGCCTACCGCCCCTGCGCCCGCTGCGTGCGCGCCAGGCGCAGTCCGCAGCACTGCGCCCATCAACCTCACGCGCTCCTGCGCCATGGCCCCCTCCGCCCTGACGGAGGGCGCCGCTGGCGGGGGCATCAGGCCTGCGCGGGTGCGCTCTTCCCCCTGTTGAGGCTCTTGCGCGTGTTGCTGTGACCGATCCGTTTCCATAGGTGCGTCAAGTGCGTCTGATGCGTCAGGTGCCGCCTCGGGTGTCCCGTCAGGTGCGTCAGGTGCGTCAGGTGCGTCAGTCCTAGCCCTACCCAGAGCGTCAGGCCTACCCTCCCCCACTGGCGACGATCGCCGCCCGACGAACGTAAATCCCCGCTGACCCTCTGCTCCCCTTGCCGCCTCTCTTTCCCCCGCACTTGCGCCCGCGAACGCTGCAGCTGTGGCAGAGGGGAACGCGGAGGCGGAGGCGGAAGCGGAAGTGGAAGCGGAAGCCAAAGCGGAAGCAGAAGCTGTGGCGGCAGCGGCGGCAGCCGCGAGGTCGTGCTGCTGCTGGCGGCGCCACTGGCTGAGCAGCACCTCCTGCTGCTGCTGCCGCGCGCACTTGCTGCGCTGCTGCTCGCGCTGCACGTGCTGCCGCAGCAGCTGCCGCGACAGCGACCCCTCGCGCGGAGCTACGTGGCTGATGCTGCGCATCCGGCGGGGGAGCGGCGGGCTAATGCGGCGCGCGGGGGGGCCGGGCGGCGGAGCGGAAGGGAGCAGCGCGGGGGAGATCGCGGGGGTGGCGGAAACCAAGGGGGCCGCGCTGACATGGGGGCCGGCGGGGGGACATTGGGGTTCGTCGGAGGGGGGGGAAGGAGGGGACGGGGGGGAGGGGGACTTGGCGAAGGACGGACCGAGGAAAGCGCGGAGGGACGGGAGCAGCGTGGTTGGCGGGGGAAGGGGCAGGCCCGCGGATGGAGGCACCAAATCAGTGGGGGGGGGAGCCAGAAGCGTGGGGGGCCGGAGGGAAGAGGGGCTGCGGGCGGGGATGGGCGGGGAGGAGGCGTCGGCAAGACGGGTGGGGGAAGTGGCGGACGGCGGCGTGGGCGATCGGGAAGAAGGCATGTGCTCCGCAGGCGCGATTGGAGCCCGCCAGAAGGCCCGCCGCGGGCCCTCGATCGGCTGCGAGAGACGACTAGGATGGGCCGTCTCGGAGGTCAATTGGTGAGATTCTAAAAAGCAGTTCGTTTCGTTCTCCGATCCAGCCTCGAGAGGCCCAAGGCCGGCTTTCCAGAAGTAACACCATCAGCGGCTCTGCTCTGCGCGCGGTGACTTCTCGGAGCGGCGGACAGCCCGAGAGCAATGCCGCAGTATGCTAAACCTGATCGCCAGCAGCAGCAGTTGGTCGGAAGGGCTGCGCGTGTTGGTCTGCGGAGCCACCTCAGCGAATTCAGTCACTTCAGCGACGCATCCGAATGAAATCCGCCGTTCCCAGTCCCGGCGTGAAGCGGCATGAACGTACTACCTTGCGAACGATGGCCCGACCAACCCCTCGAAACCAAACAAATACTCAAAACGTCGAGCCAGAAATAAGCTGTCAAGGGTTGCTGACTGTTGCCTTACATCGAATGGACGATCTAACCAGCAGCCGATCTACCTTGAAGCAACGCCGACGCCTGGCTAGAGACGAACGGCCCCTGAGCAGATTTCCGCATAGATTCCGTACTATAGGGGCTACGAGGGCGGTTGCTGGAGACTACTCGTTTCAAAAAATGTGAAGGGTGAGACGTTGCTGGCATTCGCCAACCCACCCAAGGGCATCAACGATCAGCAAGATGCTACGTCCAACAGGCCGCCAAGGAGATTGTTAACTTGGAGCCTGCACTTGGAAGGAAACGAGCAAACCCTCACACGAACGCATCACACCCCCAAGCTTGGAGAAATATAATCTTTTTTTTAGGAAGATCATTTCACCCGCTGCGGAAGGTACAGGACTCGGATCCATTCCTTCCCACCTTACAAACCAAACCCTAAAAAACGGTTCTCGGATCTTGATCAAGGAACAACAATCAAGGGATGTGGCACCGAGCAGCTCCCACAATCAAGGGTTGCTTCTGCGCTGAATCGTCAAGCAAGGCACAGCACAAGCCAACCAACCAACCAAACCCTTCAATCTCGTTATGGCATTTCTGCTCATTCAAGCGCGACGATTGCAGCCATGGCTTGCACTTCATTCGTACGTAATGGGGTCCAAGTCCCTTTCGTCCTATGCGTGGTGGTGGTACGCTCGCTCACGCCCTACCGTATCCTTCACTCACGGCCACGTAGTCCCATCAGACGCTCGAGCTTTCCACCACAAGTCGTTTTTCCGTGCGGCCACGCGGCTAACAGACACACCTCAGAAATCGCACCTCGAGAACTGCCTGAAATTACCCTTAAATATCGAGAAGATACACCCTAGCGAAGGAAACTTTACAGATCTCTCCGCTTGACCTTCCGCCTTGAAACGCCTCACGTGGAAGTGCCAATCTCTGGGCTGGCTTGGTTCATGCAACTACACCACGCCCGATCTCCACTCCGTGAACCTACAACATTCGCCCGACGAACGGCCTTCCTACCTAATTAAATCCCGTCATGACGGCCTCCAGGTACCCTATAAAAAGTGCTCATTTGTGTATGAATATTCACGGCTACAATTACCAGACCCTTATCTCAAAGAATTTGGTGCCTGCCCGAACCGAATCTTCAGATCTTCCAGTGGGTCTTCGACCAAAAAGAAACAGAGAACCCTGCCGTAAAGCCACCGCTTCACAAGTCTGATATTTCCCTCTCGCGTGCGAAATCATTTCATCGGTCTTTTGTGCGGCTCTGTTTTGTAGCCATCGTGTGGCTGGGGGTGGCTGTGCTCCTTCCATGAAGCCCTTGTTTTGTGAATATGCTCTCTAATCACCTATGTTACCACACTGTAAGATATTGTTATGAGTGTTTAAAACCCGAGTCTAGAATGGCAGAAAACCATGATTACTGACCATGAAAACTGTGCCAAAAAAACTGGGCGAAAGTAATTTCGGCAGCTTTCCCCTGACGAAAAGATATTATGGCGAAATCCAGAACCGTGATCGCATCACAGAATTTCTTCGGCAACAACCGAGTTCAACAGTGCGTGAACAGTGCAGGGGGGGGGGGGGTGGGCGGGGGATTGGGGGGAACAAACAGTGTCGCGACACCCCCACAAAAATGCGTTCAGAATGGTCGCAAGCAAAAAGATAACTGAGACGAACAGTGACTGCGGGTTTGTCTTATTGTGCGGAAGTCGCAAGCTGCCCCCCGTTCCCTGAGAGTTGCGACGTTTTCCCGGTTATATACCACGTTACCCGTTATTCGACAGAAATAAGTTCAGGATTCTTGAACTTGATAGCAAACCATTCTAGACTCGGGCTTTAACCAGAATGTCAAGATATTCTGTCGTACACTGGAATGATGAAGCAAGATATAGTAACACCAGAGCAATCCTAGCCACGTGATTCAGAGGAGGCATCCGATGACGCGGAGCGCTTCGGAGTGTCGCGGAATGGTTCGGTGCGACGTGATGGGGCCGAAGCTAGGGCTGATGTCGATGTTGTGTGGGGTAGGTGTACGTGATAGCGGTGTAGCTCGCTAAGGAATGGAAAATTCCTTGCACTACCCCCCTCTAGCGAAAGTGGTCTATATTTGCGACGTGCTTGCGGGACAAATAATCCCATAGTACAGTAGGCATTGTACCGAGGGAACCCACATGTCATCCCCACTGATACAATTGGTCCATCGTATCAGAAAGTCAACTTGTCATTCATGACTGTTAATTCTTTCGCGATGGCTCAGGATTTTCAATGGTTCGATTAGCGCCTCTTCTGTTGGTCGTAGATGTTGGGCGATTGGCTGCCGAGCGATGTGTCGGCGACAAAAGGACGAAGGTGTTGACGAAGCTAGGTAGCTAGGGAAGCCATGGAAATGGCGTGAGGGTTTAGGCTAGGAGAGAAAATGTCGAGAGAGAAGAGGTTTTGGACTAGAAGAGAAGGAGATACAAGAAAGGGGGTAGTGCCCTCTACAGTAGGATTCAGTAAGTAGCACAACTACCAAGCCTACAATTATATATATATAATATATAATTTAACACACCCCTTAGGCTTGGTAGTGGCAAGCCCATCCCACCCCCAGCACCCCCATTCCCTGCAGCAGCAGTGGCGTCGACCAGCCGGTCGACCCCTCGGCAATCGAGGTGTCGATGTCGACGGCGGGTCGCAGCGGCGGCGGCGGCATCGGCAACTGCGGCGGCGGCAGGGCGTGCAGCACCTGCGGCAGCGACAGCAGCAGGGCGTGCAGCACCTGCGGCGGCGGCGTCGAGGCACCTGGCGACGGCGGCCGCGGCACCCAAGGCAACGGCGGCGTGGCTCAACCTGAACGACGAGGGGGAGGACGACACGAGGTCGCCAGCAGCTGCGGCGGAGAGGAAGGGAAAGGCAGAGGAGGGGAAAGGGGGAAGGGTGGGGGGCGGATCGTCAGCGCGGCGCTATGGCTGGCCCGGCGCTGCCGCTGCCGATCGTGCGCTGGTGCGTCGACACCGCCGCGACAGCACGACGACGCCGCCACGGCAAGATATCGACGTCACGACAGCGCGACGAGGCTGCCACGGTAGCAGTGTCGAGACCGCCGTGGCAACATGACGAGACCGGCGGCACGACGACGCCGCCACAGTAGCACGATGCGGCCGACATGGCAGCGCGAGAGAGAGTGGAAGAGTGCGCGGCAGAAGTGTGGGAAGAAGGTCCAGCAGGTTGAACTTGCTCTGATTCCATGTTGAAGAAGCTAGATAGCTAGGGAAGCCATGGAAATGGCGTGAGGGTTTAGGTTAGGAGAGAAAATGTCGAGAGAGAAGAGGTTTGAACTAGAAGAGAAGGAGATACAAGAAGGGGGGTAGTCCCCTCTACAGTAAGATTCAGTAAGAAGCACAACTACCAAGCCCACAATTATATATATAATGTATAATTCAACAAAAGGAGGCTGACGTGGAATGAATTATGAATCTTCCAATCGTCGGGCAGGCAGAGTTGGGCGGTCACTAGCGTAATCATATTGATGATTTTGAATGGTCCACAATAGCGGGGTCGGATTTTTGGCGGTATCTGCAGGCGAAGGTTTTTGGTGTCAAGAAGGGCTAATTTCCCTGTAGTCATAGTAATATCCCGTCTGTGGCGGTCGGCGTACTGGCGGGCAGTGACATAGGCTTTTCGAATAAACTCCATGGCTTTCGTGCGGGCGGTTTGAAGGTCTTCGACGAACTACTACGAGCGGGGGACTTTCAACGTTGGTGGAAATGGGTACGGTCGGGTCCATCCCGTAATTTAGGAAGAAGGGCGAATGATTGGTTGTAGCAGAGGTTCGTTGTTGTAGGAAAACTCAAGCATGGGTAGCGAATCTTCCCACTTGCAGATATCCGAGCAATTCGTGCGAATCAATTGTTCCATGGTCTGATTTGTCCGTTCTGTCTGACCGTCAGTTTGCAGGTGATAGGTGGATGAGAATTGTAGGCGGGTGCCATATCGGTTCCACGTGTCTTGCTAGAAACATGAGGTGAATTTCAGATCTCTGTCGCTGGTGATCGTCGCAGGGATACCATGCAGGCAAACGACGGCCGAGATGAGCAGGCGAGCGGTTTCTTCGGCTGTAATCGTCGTACGACATGGCGCGAAATGAGCCATTTTCGTAAGGCGGTCGACGATGATAAGAACCGCGTCGTTACCACTTGGTCCGGCTGGCAGGCCTATGACAAAATCCATTGTGACATATTGCCAATGTCGTTGGGGTGGCTCGAGGGGCTGCAACAGTCCTACTAACCGCTGGCATGATGATTTCATTGTCTGGCAGATCAGACACGCGCCCACGGATTTTTGCACGTCCAAAATCGTGTCCGGCCAGTAATGAAACTGTTATAGAGCCTTCAGAGTCTTGTCATCCCCGAAATGTCCCGATAAGTTTGAATCGTGGACTTCTCGAATTAGTAATTCGTAAAGTAGAGGATAACTTGGAACCCAAAATCGTTCCATTCCCGCTTTTACGCTATAGGCTCCTCGTGCAGTCGTGACCTGCTGGTGGCCGTTGTTTACGAAAAAGGGATCGGTCGAATATCCGTGGGTAAATAGTCCATTCAGCAATGGGTTCATCTGGGCAAGTAGTACAGCGGCGGTTTGGGCAGACGGTCTGGAGAGGGCGTCGACAAAGTTGTTGGCACCCTTCTCGTACGTGATTTGGTACGTGAAGTTCGACTCCCCATAATCCAACCAGCGAACCTGCCGCAGGTTGAGATTCGGCTGCACTCATAGGTACTACAGGGATTTGTGACATGTTCGTACAATCACGTCAGCTCCCGTCAGGTAGAATCGCCAGACCTTGAACGCGTGCACGATCGCCAGCATTTCTTTGTCGTGTACAGGATAATTTCGCTTGGCCGACTGTAACTTTCGCGACTCGTATGCGATTGGCTGCAGGCCGTCGCCAAAATCTTGTAACAGAACTGCTCCGATTGCGATGTCGCTTCGTCTGTCACGGCCTCGAATGGTTGTTCTAGGTCAGCAATCCGAAGTACTGGTGGCGAGATTAAAACATCTTTTAATCCATCAAACGCAGCTGGTTGCTTGTCCCCCCACTGGTAATCAGCACCCTTATGAAGTAGGTTAGCTAGTGCCCCAGTTAACCCCACCATGTTGGGGATAAAATGGCGCATGTAATTGACGAACCCCAAAAACCCTGCTCCTGGAGGTTGGTTGGCAGCTTCCATTCTTGAATTGCTCGAATTTTGCAGGGGTCAATTTTCACGCCTTCCGTTGAAATTACGTGCCCCAAAAACTCCTAAAAACTCACACTTAGAGCCATTGGTAATGAGACAATTCTGCTGCAGGCGCTGAAAAACCGCTTCCAGGTCCTTTAAGTACTGTTGCTGTGTTGTGCTGTAAATCAGGATATCATCTAGATAAATGATAACACATTTATCGAGTAGATCCCGGAATACCCCATTCATCGTCAGCTGGAACGTTGAGGGGGTATTCGTGAACCCGAACGGCATGACAGTGTATTCGTAACTCCCGTAGCGAGTACGAGACGTAGTCTTTTGGCAATCGTTGGCGAAGACTCGAATCTGGTGGTAATCGCCGAGAAGGTCGA